AAAAATAACAACACTTTGTCAGGACCATGAGGCGATCATTCCTACCAACTTTCAGTTCAATCGGTCCAGCAGAACTTGACTTTAAGTTTGAAATAGGTTTTCAAAATGGCGGCCGTGGCGGCCATATTGGATTTCTGATCGACCCGAAAAATAACAACACTTTGTCAGGACCATGAGGCGATCATTCCTACCAACTTTCAGTTCAATCGGTCCAGCAGAACTTGACTTTAAGTTTGAAATAGGTTTTCAAAATGGCGGCCGTGGCGGCCATATTGGATTTCTGATCGACCCGAAAAATAACAACACTTTGTCAGGACCATGAGGCGATCATTCCTATCAACTTTCAGTTCAATCGGCCCAGCAGAACTTGACTTTAAGTTTGAAATGTAAAATGTTAACGGACGACGGACGACGGACGACGTACGACGGACGACGGACGACGACGGACGAAAACGGATAGCAATAGGTCACTTGAGCTAAAGCTCAGGTGACCTAAAAAATATGGATACATTGTTAAATTAAGGACACAAAATCTGTAATTACACTAGTCTTGCAAGTAATGTACATTTAAATTGTACTTTAAATCATATTAGATGATATCCAAGTAGTGACGATTGATTTTTGTTACTTACAATTGAGCGACTTCACTGTTAAGTACAGCAAGTTTCAGCGATTTATTTTGAGAATGAAATGCAGGACTTACCTGCACTTATTGCAGGCATTGCAACTTCGGAATAGTATTCCTTTTCTGCAGTTATCAACGCTTTTTCAACCGTATCTGCTAACAGATCCAAACAATGTTTATCTTGGTAATCCCCCCATTTAGGTCCAACAGCATGGATTATGCCTTTGCATCTCATCCTTCCAGCTGTTGTGACAACATTTTCTGACACAGCAATTTTCTTTGTTTTCTTCATGATTTCCTTGCAATGTTCTTCCATACGTTCTCCAGCAGCTTCTGCAATGTAGAAGGCAACGCCTCCAATATGATCCAACCTGTCATTGGCGGCATTGATAACACCATCCACCTTTGTTTTCATCTTTGTAATTGAACCATGCACTGTATGAACATCTAGACCTTTATAGCTGAACATTGGTGGGGAGGAAAAGCTACTACTGGCCACGTGTCTGTTTTGGCTAGATCCTAATGTGGTGCTTCCTTGATAATTTGCAGGAACAGTTTTAGGATTTGTTCGAACACTATCAGCATAGGACGGAGGACGACGACTGCTTGTCAAGTGTGTGTCATTTGCAACAGTGTTCATGTTTGGATGCGGATATGAAATTGCCTCAGGTACACTCCTTTTAATATCTGTCATCCAGTCATCAATTTGATGTTTTAATCTGAATTGATAAAGGTCTGTATCTCTTCTTTTTGCAAACAGTGTACATGTCCTAGAATCATCAGAAAGATGTAGAAAACAGCGATGTTCTGGCTGTCCATTATTTTTATGAACATATTCTTGTAATTTCTTCTTCCTATGGAGCAGTACATCATTCGGAATAGAAATCTCGTTTTTTATGAGGTCATTCAAAAACAAATTCATGCTTTTAAATTCAGCTTCAACATATTTGGTAGAGTCATCTTTGATAATATAAACATGCAGAATACCTATTTGTTGTCGTAACTCCACATATTTGAATTTTACCAATTGGTCAAAACTTTTCTTGCAAAAATACAGCAAAAGGATCAATTCAAGTCCACTGAATGTCCATCTGGGTGGAGGAACGCATTGTGCTGTAGCAAATGATGTATGATGTGTTGAAGGCTGGAGGAGAAATAGAAAAGGCTGAATTAGATAAAAAGTGTACGATTGTTAGCAAAGGCCAGAGAGCCATATTAGTGCACATGCAATTTAATTTTGAATTTAAAACCTGTTAAAACAAAGTGAACAGAGGCTTACATAGATATACCCCTTCCCACCTTTCCCCCCCACCAACCCATCCACAAGGATATGGTATACAGGGCATAATCTGTAAAAAGTGGATCCTTTGTGTACAAATATTTTTACTTCAAAAATAGTCAAGTGTGATTCTGTATAGTGGTTTAATTTCATGATGTTGAAAGTTCATGCTTTCACGCATATTTTTGGGCATTAAGCTGGTGCAAAGCACAAACTAATGCATTTCAGGGTCTGTCCACTTCTGCAGATTGTGATGTGAATATTCAAAGATTTTAGTGATTCTTTTTTCATAATAAGAGTATGAGAATCTATAACAAGAGGCCCAGGGGCCTGTATCGCTCACCTGGATATTAAAGCAATCAAGGGAAAATGTTCTCAAAGTAATATTTGGAATTGTTTTCAATGTTTAAGACTAAACAAAACTTTATACTACTCTATTCCATAATGCTACTGTTCAAAAAGCATCACCAGGGCCTCCTGGTACTCACTCACCTAATGCAGAAGTTGTTTAAAGGTCTTCTGATATTTGACTCATTTGACTTTGGAAGAGGGTAGATCATTTATTTTAGGAGACTTTAAAGCATAAATATTGCCAGGTACATGTACCTACTGGCAAAATATCATCACCCTGATCTTCCTAGTTCTACAGAAGAAGTTGTTTAAATACATATCAAACTATATTTGACCAATGTGACCTTGAAAGTAGGCCAAGGTCATTTATTTGAGTAAACTTAATAGCACCCTGTCCCAGACACCTTCTGGGCAAATATCAGTGCTCTAGGCCTTTTGGTTATTCAGGAGAATTGTTTAATTTTTTTTAAACACATTTGACTCTTTTGTTCTTGAATGCAATTCAAGGTCATCTATTTGAGGAAAGTTTATAGCACTTAATTCCAGGTACAGTTGTGGGATCGCACAACATTACATGATGTGCAGTGTACGCCCGATGTGCAAGCAATTAAAATCTGGACAATTATGGCTTGTAACCTTGCCTAGGTGTAAAAATCTAGGAGGGGAGCTAGACCAAAACATATGCAAATAACAAATACTTAACGTACAGTTATGTTTTCATAACAGTCATACAGTATCACATATCAGCTCTCTTTGACGGCCAGGTAAAACTCCTGTCAATCATCAAAATGTTATTTACCTGTTCTGTTACCTGGGAGATAAACCGATTCCTGACAGTCTAATGGTCACTGTAATGCTGAGTTATATATATACATAATCCTATTTAATTTGATGAGAATTATATATATGCATACAGAGTTCTGTATTTCATACGAGGGTTTCGGATTTTCTTCATTTCGTTACATGTATCAACCAATTGTACCAAAACACACATTTGTGCATAGAGAAGCGCACAGCGGTGCGAACGATTTGTGGACGATGTGCGCATGCTATTTTTGCAGTCAAGCAACTGTATATACTGACCAAGTTTCATCATGAAGGACCTCCTGGTTATTCAGAAGAAGTTGTTTAAATGTTTAACATATTTGACCCCTGTGACCTTAAAAGAAGGTCATATATTGAACTCTGCCCCAGGTACAATGTACCTACAGGGCAAATGTCATTGCTTTAGGCCTCTTGGTTAATGTGAAGATTGTATTTAAAGGTTTTCAGCACATTTGACTCTCGTGATCTTGAAAGTAGGTCATGGTCATTTATTCGAGGCAATTTATAGCACTTCGTGCCAGGTACCTACTGGCCAAGTATCATCACTCTGGGCATACTGGTTATTCAGAAGAAGCTGTTGAAACGTATTTTTACATAATTGACTTAGTGACCTTGAAAGTATGTCAAGGTCGTTTGTTTGAGGATACTTTATAGCAGATGGAAGACAGACATTGCCCCACGGCATAAGCTCACTTGAAAATTTGGGCCAAGTGAGCTAATAAATGAGAAATTCTGAACTACAAACCTCAAATTCAAACTAAACCTCCTATTAACAGCTATGGTCATTTAAAGACGTGACTTGTGGCTTTGGTGGTGAAGCAAAACCCGGATCACCCCAAGAATAACCACCAGCATGCGGCTTGTACCTAGTTCCTCGAACCTGTGACCCAGTGGTGAAGGGCTAGTGATGGTAGATGCTCAGATGCCTTAACCACTCCAACCCTGGAGTGTTCAGAAGGCTTTCCTCCTCCACCACCATAATGAGGGCACATCATAAAATGACAATAGCTGTTAATAGGATTAAAACACATACAAAACAAACCAAATTCATGAGTTACTAATTACTGCATCACACTCTTTGTCATATTTGTGCAAAAAAAACAATTTAATAAATGTATTCCATTTTATAATTTCCATCTTTATAAAGTTTCAATATTTACTAGGAATGATTTTGCTAGGTTTAAGCAAAGGTTGTTTTCCCAAAACATCCTCAAATTCACTGATAGTACAGTAATACAGTACAGGGTATTTAAGCAAACTGTGTGAATAATAATCAGCCATGTTGTTGTTGACATGATAACTTGTTAACTAGAATGATGTGGGATCACAATTTTTTATAGACCAAAAATGTTCAAATTAAATGAGTTATATTGCACTTATACTATATAATTTATGAATGCATTTTAACTTACATTTGTTCCTTGCGATCCTCCAAACACCTCTGAAAACATGCATAATATCATTATTTAAAAAAAGCCCTGAAGCCATACAAAAATTGCATACATGTAAAAATAAGGTGAATGTTCATAACATATTATAATTTAAGGAAATGTAATTAGTGACAGGAAACCAAGCAGTGAAAAATTCAGTTTTTTATTTGGCAACAGAAAGAATTCTTAGAAACATACATGTATCTATTTTCAGTTATACAATGTTTCACTGACAAATGGCACTTTTTTTTCTGGATTGTCCATTCAATAAATCAAAGAGTTTTATATGAAAGCAAATATTTATCATAATTAACTTTTTCATAAAAAAACCCATCTCCATCACAAGGATTTGATCAAAAGACCTTCATTGTACAAGGACCATTCAATAAATTCTGCTACTAATGTCAGGAATCACATGTATGATTTATAATTAGTTTGACATATCTGTTACAATCCTTCAAAGTATCCTCCCTTCGCAATCGTGCTATCCATGACGTATAAGCTGCATGGCCATCTCCCCTAAATATACTGGCAAAACATTGGACGATTACACTACCAAGAGCACCCCCGGAGGCATACCTTTTTCCAGAGAGCATTTTCTTTATTAAAGGAAACAGGAAAAAGTCACAGGGACTTGGATCTGGGCTCAGTTGTTCAAAATGTGGTTAGGTTAACCACAGTTTAACGACATCTTTCAACCTTTAATAATTTTGTCAATAAACACGGTAAATTCACTCAACTGAATATTTGATATCTAGAAAGTTGTAATTAATTCAAAGGTTGAGTCGTAAAGATACAAAAAAAAAATCAAGATTTGCTCTAATCACTGATTAAGCTAATCAACTTTTGAACAACTGGGCCCTAGTCAGGATAGGGTGGGTGGTCAATCTACCTACTTTTTCTTTTGCTTCAAAAACACTTGTACAAAATTCCTTTTGTATGATGAACCATTTCCAAACCTTTACTTGGATGCTATTTCATGCAGAATCCTTTTGACAGACTTAAGTACTTTATCTCTGTAAAACCTCAGTTGCAATAACCCTATCATTCAACATGGTTTTACAATGTTTGGCCTTTTGTTCAGATATCAGCAAATGGGGTATCCATCAAGCCAAAGGTTCTTTAATTTCAACTTGGCTTGGTCAAAATGTGATGTGTACTGCATACAACTAGCATATACATTAATCAATACAACTTTGAGGAATTTACAGGAGCTGCCTTATCAGGCGTTAACAACTATATAGTCCTATGCCACCTGGCTAATATCTCCCTATGTGTGCATGCCTGCGTGTGTGCTGGAGATGTTGTGTGTAGCACATTATTGTGAAGTAAAACTTATAGTTTGTAACACGTCTGAACCTATGACATTAGGAAGAATTTTGTTACGCATTATAGGAATGAGGGTTTTAAATTAAGCTGTCATACCTGTTTCCATTGGTTCTTCTGTCGCCATCGCTGTACAGTAACTGTGATAATACAAGCAAGATTTACATTTTTACTTTCAAAGCAGAATGTTTTATTGGATTTGATGAAACGAGGCAATTGTCCAGCAAATAAGGGCCAGTAAAATGAGCTATATCCCAGGGACAAAGCATTCATCACTAGATTTTAAAAAGTGAAAAATTAAAAATTAATATTATATATCAAAACCTTTTCTTCCAAAGACTTTGGAGGTATAGCTCATTTAACTGGCCTTATATATATATAGTTGCTGGACATCTTTTTTGTTTCAACAAATTCAATAAAATCTTCCCACCTTCATTGTGTCGATATTTTATTTCCTTTTTTATATATATTATTGTAATCCTAATCTATATTTTTGCAGGATGTTACTCTTATTTTAATTCCATACATTTCTAAAATATAAATTCTTACATAAACTTTTGTGAATTGATTTTGGTATCATTTTTTTAATTTCATACTATAATATAGTATATATTCTGTCAATTTTTACTCTTTGCTATATTAGCATTGTATCTATAGTCCACTTCATAGTGTTTTAGTCCTTTAAGTCCTAAGTAATTCTTGTGTGATATACAAGTATTCACTATTAACTATGTCTTTCATTAACTTTTTCTGAATACTGCTAAACGTGATCACATTTATTGCTGTTTAATATGTTATTTATGGGATATGATACCTCCTTTTTTTCTGTGATAATTATTAGGGATTTATTAGTACTTAAACCCCTGTGATAATAATGTATATGTGATTATCTCCGTTTACTTCTAATATAATGTGTTATTGTTATTTTACATATGTTTGTCGCAATAATAGCTCTCAAGAGCTCTATGTTTACATGTATGTGACTTAAATAAAGTTTCTTGTATATCTTGTACATCCACATTAATTACATAACGTGGACCAATAAGGAAAGAAATGTGTTAATCTTTAATAATCACTTATCCTTTACTTTCTTTATATTTATTTTTCTTTTACCAACGATAGTCAAAGTAGATATGGCACTTATAAGTTTGAAATTTTCGGTACCAACTAAAACAGTTAAAATCCTTAAATTTGAAAGATTTGTTTGTTTGTTTCGGTAAGTCTCACACATTTTGAGGGTCAAAAGTCATTTTAGGAGCTAAATCACAGTACCCCAAACAGAGGCAAACTGAAACCCTACACAGACAATATGATTTATTAATTATTATACCTCATCTTTATTACAGCATGTCTGATTTGATGATACAAGTCACTAGCAATGGCAATAATACATCAGCTTGCACTCACACACCCATGTTTCTCTGATCATATTTCCCTTTTTTGGAGCCTCTCTAGAAAGATCCCCAAGAGCAACCACAACCTAAAAGCAATGGCATGTCTACCTGATCATCTTTACTATTGTGTCATTTATTTGTTTTGATTAACATAATAAAACATTACTTGCCCTTGCAGTAAGGGAATCAGGATTTTTTGTTTCTCCTCGATTACTTGGAGGTGAAACACGAGTGCAAAGGCCCGAGCAGGGAAAATCCTGGAGAGGGCCATGGGGCCTTTGACCACTCAAAACTGAAATTGACCCCTCCATGTTCCAATTTTCTTTTGATTTTACATATATGGCCGGTGTCATGCATAAAAAGTACCCCCCTACCAAAAAGTATCCGGATACTTTTTATACCTGCATAAAATGTACCCCCCATGCATAAAAAGTACCCCCCTTGTGATAAAAAAAATATTTATCTATTTTCAAACCAATTGAGTTCAGAATTTGATCAGGATGTAACAGTTGAATATTTATCCACCCCTACCCAAACAATCCCCACCCCCGGGGCCAGGAAATGATGCCAAAATATTTTTTAAACACTGGTTTGGAGAGTCATGAAGAAACATTTACAGTTATGTTATAGTCATTACCCAACCTATATTCAATTCCCCAC